GCCCTGAAGGACCTGGCTAATGTAAGTTTTCTAATAAGTGAATAATGTTAAAAAGCCTGCAAAGATTATCAGTGCAGTTCTCTGTAAAAGTTAGCACTCCATCCACGTTAACAAACGTAAGCATCAATTCTAATTCAATTGAGCAAATATATCCACTAGGAGGAAGAATGATTCAAAGGTTAGGGTATGAGCCTAGGACTTGGAACCAGTGTTCAGTTCTCTTTTCTAGGACAGACTACCTGTATGACCTTAGGCAAATCACTGGGCTTCAGTTTCCCAGCCATCTGTAAAATGGGCAGGGTTTGCTGAGTGGCAGCGAGCCCCCCCTCGCTAGCCGCACGGTTCTGCGCTCTGCACATGCGCAGATCGCTCCGTGCCGGCTCTTCTGGGGTGTAATCTACTCGCCACAGGCAAGTAGATTACAATATTTGTCAAGCCCTGAAAATGGAGATAATAGTATTTCTTTACCTCACTTTGAAGATAAAAATTAAAAATTGAGACACTAAAACTACAGTGATGGGACTATACAAGTACCTAAAAACAGATCAAATTTTTACACTATCACCTCATTTCATTAATTTCTAAGAGTATTTTTAAAAATATACGCCTGTTGCAAAGTCATGTGGCCCCAATCCTAAATCTGGTACATGCTTATAATTCACACATGAATGAGTAGTCCCATAGACTTGAATGGTACTACTCAGATGCTAACAGTTCAACACATGAAACAAAACATCTGCAGGACTGAGGCCTATGACTGGATTTATGTGAGATATCAGGTGCAATTTATCCCTATCACCTTAGAAGGTGGCAAGGTGATAGGGAACAGTCAGCATGGATTTGTAAAGAATAAATCATGTCAAACCAATCTGATAGCTTTCTTTGATAGGATAACGAGTCTTGTGGATAAGGGAGAAGCGGTGGATGTGGTATACCTAGACTTTAGTAAGGTGTTTGATACGGTCTCACATGATATTCTTATCAATAAACTTGGCAAATACAACTTAGATGGGGCTACTATAAGGTGGGTGCATAACTGGCTGGATAACCGGACTCAGAGAGTAGTTATTAATGGTTCACAATACTGCAGGAAAGGCATAACAAGTGGGGTTCCGCAGGGGTCTGTTTTGGGACCGGCTCTGTTCAATAATCAACGATTTTGATATTGGCATAGAAAGTACGCTTATTCAGTTTGCAGATGATACCAAGCTGGGGGGGATTGCAACTGCTCTGGAGGATAGGGTCGTAATTCAAAATGATCTGGACAAATTGGAGAAATGGTCTGAGGTAAACAGGATGAAGTTTAATAAAGACAAATGTAAAGTGCTCCACTGAGGAAGGAACAATCAGTTTCACACATACAGAATGGGAAGTGACTATCTAGGAAGGAGTATGGCAGAAAGGGATGTAGGGGTTATAGTGGACCACAAGCTGAATATGAGTCAGCAGTGTGATGCTGTTGCAAAAAAAGCAAACATGATTCTGGGATGCATTAACAGGTGTGTTGTGAGCAAGACACGAAAAGTCATTCTTCTGCTCTACTCTGCGCTGGTTAGGCCTCAGTTGGAGTATTGTGTCCAGTTGTGGGCACCGCACTTCAAGAAAGATGGAGAAATTGGAGAGGGTCCAGAGAAGAGCAACAAGAATGATTAAAGGTCTAGAGAACATGGCCTATGAAGGAAGGCTGAAGGAACTGGGTTTGTCTAGTTTAGAAAAGAGAAGACTGAGGGGGACATGATAGCCATTTTCAGGTATCTAAAAGGGTGTCATAAGGAGGAGGGAGAAAACTTGTTCATCTTGGTCTCTGAGGATAGAACAAGAAGCAATGAGCTTAAACGGCAGCAAGAGAGGTTTAGGTTGGACATTAGGAAAAAGTTCCTAACTGTCAGGGTGGTCAAACACTGGAATAAATTGCCCAGAAAGGTTGTGGAATCCCCATCTCTGGAGATATTTAAGAGTAGGTTAGATAAATGTCTATCAGAGATGATCTAGACAGTATTTGGTCCTGCCACGAGGGCAGGGGACTGGACTCTACCTCGAGGTCCCTTCCAGTCCTAGTATTCTAGGATTCTATATGCTTTAAAAAAAAAATCACAGTTCAAGCTAGTATGAAAGACGTACCAGGGTGTGGTGCAGGGGCAGACAAAATGCAGGCTGGATCTGGCTCACCAAGTCACTGAATCCAACCAGTAAACCAGCAGGAACCTCAGCCAGGCTTGCACACCACTCAGTGTCTGGCTGCAGGAGCTATGTGTCCTGCTCTGAATGCTGTGAGCCCAGGGATTGGAGGGAAGGAGAGGCTTTCAGGGAAGGCAGAAGTTTCTTCTTCCCGTATGAAAAATAACCAAGTCCCACAATAAGTCACATTGCACGATTATTAGGCAGATTTGTGGGAGGAGGGATGATTTGATAATCATTTGGGGCAAAGTCCACCCTATGTGCAAACAGCTGACAAAAGGCTATGTTCATCATAATAAGAATTATGTAAAATTTGAGTGGAGCGTAAGACTTTCAACTTCATTAATGAGATAGTAAATCTCTAGCTACTAGCAGAGAATAGAATCCAATTTGTCCCTCTGCTGTCACAATAAAGTATTATAATACTAAAAATGTTCTTTAAACTGTAGATTGCTATAACAGGTATCTACTATATGTTTTGGAGATTGTGCCTCATTTGCATTCATCCATGACTACATTTGTTCAAGAACTCTTCCAAAATGGTAAGAGCTAGGACCACGAACTTCGGCATTCAGCTTCCTCTTATAATTTAAAGCAAGGTCAGGGTTTGGTTGTGCCAGGACACTGGGTTGTGTGTGAAATGCCATTGTCTCACATCGAACTGTATTTTACCAGAGTTGTGTTGATGGGACATGAACTGAAATGCCTTAAATAAAGACATTTTAAGCAAGAGGCATTGTTCTAGAAGAGCAATAAACTACTGGATTTTAAGTCCATTGATTTGATTTTTATTTAACACCGCAATGTGAAGAGTAAATCCACATGGAGCCTGTAACAGGTAAGTTTTGTTCATCATGACTCTGAGGTGCTGTTAACCAGAAAGAATAGGGGAAAAAGAAAAAAAGTTGAGGACAACTCTGAAACAGAGATATTGCTCTTGGCACAACAACCAGGAATCAAAAAAAAAAAAAAAAAAAAAACACAGCCTGAACAAGTTCAATAATTAGATAGAAATACTGATTCTTTGGCCTGAGAACTAACAAGGATGACTCCACCCTAAAAATGCCTC